AACCACTGGACACCCATTTAATTGGTATGTGCATCTATAAGAGGTAAAGTTATGAAGATGTTCCATTATAGTGACATTCAGAAAGGAATTAGGTCTCTCAATAGTGGTGTTAAGAACAAATGTCGTGTTACAATAGGGATACTTTCCAACAACAGATGCCTTCCTAGATGAATTCCCAACAATATGCCGCTACTTCTTGAATCCTGCTACCAATAGTTAAAATAGAATAATCAACATTGTCTTTTTGTAGCATTCCAAGGATGTTGTTTCCATCCAGTTTCATTGAAAGGAATAGCATGTATTAAAGGTCCTCCTTTCGCTTGTGGGGGAACGTGCATGCAGATCCATCAATCTGTCCTGTTTAATAATCAAGAGATATTTTGCACATCCCATATATAACAATTTTGTTCCCAAAGTCCTTGCTCTGGAATTCCATCTTGGAAAGTCACTGTAGCCTTTCCAGGAGGAAAGATACACATAAAAAGAATACACATAATGATAGTTATAGAATTAGCATTTAAACAAGCAAATGCTGCTACTAAAAAGTTCTCTGGTGTCTGTGGCATGTCCTTATCCTGTAACAATTTTGTAGACTGTGCAGAGAGAGCCTTAATTTGTCCCTAGGTCACTTGATGTCTGTGACAAAGTGTTCGGTCCCGATCCTGCTGAGGGTTCTGCAGGCTGAGTGAGAAGTCCAGGATCAGGTTTTCAGTCCTTGGTGCCACGCCATCCTTCCACGGTTTCACACACCAAGCAGGGATCCACACCAGACCTGTAGGAGCAAGCACAGCAGCATATCCTTGTCCCCATGTCAATAGAGGAACGGCTCCATGCCATTCGGGATTAGGCAATAATCTATACATGACCTGTGGCTGGGGATGACTCATTCTACTTCCAAAATGATTATCTACTGCAGTTGATAAATTTTTTATGATATTAAGATGATTCAAAGTAAACAGAACTTTATTCAACCATTCCTGTTTACCAGGGTGGAAGACCTATGGGGATCCCTCCTGTTTGTTTATATTTATCCAAAGCGATTTTAATGTAAAATTTGCCCGCTCCACTATGGCCTGTCCTGTAGAATTATAANTGCTTGTGTGTGATGGATTAACAAGATTATACAGACCATGTTTCATCTCCTTTCCTAATTACCCAATGAAGAGGTGCTGACACTACCATTGATCATGTATGTATAAAGCAGTAGACATCAGGCTTGGAAGTTTTTGTCTGATATTATTTTCATTATGCCCCAAAACACAAGCACACACTGTCTCCCTCCCTCTCTCTGTCTCTCTCTTCCCCCCTCTCTCCCTCCCTCCCTGTCTGTCTTTCTCCCTCCATCTCTCTCCCCCCTCTCTCTTTCTCTCTCATTAATATGTGGTTTTTAAAGGATAAATCTAAAAAAAAAAAGATTATTTCTTCAGCAGCAAAGGGAAAGTATTTTTTTACATACCTAAGAAAGAGCTACATCAATTACAAACTTTATTGTTCCCTGTTCAATGCAAATGGAGAATTTTCCCTGGGCTAAAATAATGAAATATTCTGCATTTAATGCTATCATGTGGGCATCATTTTTTTCTTTTAAAAAAGGAGGAAAAGATCAGCATTTTTATGCTTCCAAAACATGCACTGTTCCCAGAAAGCTGCATGCTATGATTTGAGACAGTTCAGTAAACTGATGTTCTATTCCATATAACATGGTATATTCTTTTCCTTCACCTATAAGAAAAAATATATTTCTTCTTAATATATTACCTTGCAAATGTAAATTCTTTTGTCTTTCCCTTCATCCTGTTCAAGATTCCCTTGCTTAATTCATTGAGGTTTTTATTTTCTTCTGCTCTGGAGATGTTTGTGCTCCATTTAGCGGTATGGCATCCTATGGCAGCCATTTTTGCACTGCTACTGACACAAATGTCCAACAAGGTTACTTAGCTGACATCAAGCCATTGCCCTGTGGAACTCAGAACTCAGAAAAGGAATGTATAGAAAAGGCAGAGAACAGGATCAGATTAGATGTAAACTGCACATTCATAAAGGATGTTTCTAGATTGAAAAAAGGTTGAATAATTTTTAAATAACCTAAAAATCCTGTAATAGCTTTGGGTGTGGTGGAATCTCAGTTTGAGACACAGACAATCCTGACTCATCCCCAACAGCCTGGCCCTGTCTTCAACAGTGAAGGGACAGAGGGCAGAAAACATCCTGCAGCCAAGAAGGCTCCATACCCATTTGCAATACTCAAGTGACCCTGAGGACACAGATAAACCTCCAAGTGGCCTCAACTCTCTAGAAGAATGCAAATGACCAGCTGTCTGCTAGGAATATAAATCCTTCCATTCCACCAGCGAGTCAGAACTGAAGAAGCTTCTTGGGTGACAATTGAAACATCTTCAAAAGAAAAAAAACAAGAAAATCCAGCTGCCTCCTGAAAAAACATTTTTGGGTGGAATTGGAAGCATTTAAAACCACAACATGTGATTCCTCATTACAGTTCTAGTGAGCATTGCTTTTTTTCCTGATCCTCCCTTCCCTAAACACGTTAATTGCAACTTTAATTGTGAACATAGTTTATTGCAAGGCCCTTAGCCACTTAGTATAATAAATTCATTGCATTTTTATGGGCCAATTAAAAAGAAAGTGGAGCAATTGTTTCTTCAGCCACAATATTCTTTGTATTGTTAAGTATAGGGTTTGTGTATGTATTTTCCTCATTTAACTTTTTTTGATCTGCCATAAACTGATACGAAAGTTTTAAGACTTTTTCAGTATTCTCCTGGACTGAGTCTTAATTCTAAGTAAATTTTAAAAAACTTAATTTCCCCTCCCCCACTCCACAAACCCCCATTTAATATACACACATGGACACATAAGAAAGGAGATGAAACATGGTCTGTATAATCTTGTTAATCCATCACACACAAGCAATATTATCTCCATCAAAATTAGAATTGTTGAGTATTTTATTATGAAATCACAACAAATTCACTGGAATTTATTAAGAAAGGAAAGTTATGCATAAACCTTCCATGTTTTCCTACTCCTTCTATATTTTTTCCATGGGGCGGAAAGTCTTACTTTTCTGAGAAACACAGCAAAATAATATCGGCTTCCAATAAAGAAATTTCACCCAGCAATTCTTTTTCAGGAGATATGACTTTAAACTGGGGAGAGATATATTGGGCAAAATGAGATTATCATATCTCAGTTTATTATAAATTTATATTTTTTAAAGCCAGTGTAGAGCTGCCATTTAAAACTATGACATTGAAACTCAAAATTTGAATGCACATACAGCTGTTTTGGCTTGGGCCCCATGAATGTTGGTTTGCCAATATTATGGTTATAGGAAACAACCAGTCAGGGCACTTTTGCAGTCGAATGCAACGATTCCTCTTTCCATCCCCACTTCCAGCCCAAGAGGCAAAGGCTTACCCAAGGGACTTAATTTGCCTCCGAAGTATAACACAAAAATCTCAGTTATTTTCCAAGCCTAACATAAAAGTGTGTGAGAGGTTATCCCTTATCCCTATATATTTGCTGCACTTTTGTGTTACTTGCAGTCATTTAAAAGTGCAGCACAATGCTTAAGCCTCGGCCCTTCAAGGATTTTCAAGACTCGTTAAACCAACAGACCCCCCCCCCCCACTATTTTGCTCAGCTTTAGGTTCAGGTGGAAGGCTGGTTCTCATGGTTACCAGAATGAAGGACATATTCAGTCTGTTGAGTGTAATAAATGAATGTGTGGGTTTCTCTGCAGAATTCTACATTCCTTTCTTAAACCTAAGTGATAATTCAAATATCAAGCAAATGAAGAAGCAGTATTTCCTATGACATTAATAATAATAACAATAATAACATTGATTAAAAGAATTGTAGTATCAAAGATTTGTCTCTGGCTTCTTTCATTAAAAAATCAGTTATTCCTAGGGGAGTATGGGTTACATGCAATAGGATTGAGTGCTACTCAAGTGAACAGCTTTGCCAAAAACCTGAAAGTCCAGGTTATGAGCCTACGCCCACTTCCACTCAAATAGAAACTAGAACTGTGGCACACAAGTGCAGCATTGGTAAGCCAAAGGCTTTAAAATAAAGGTGTACAGTATTTTTATATGCCCTTATTCTTGGGAAAGGTTTAAGATCTTAGAAGACGAATGCCATCTGGCTAATATACTTATGTTCTGTTCATCAGCCAATATGTCTCAACAGTTCTGATCAAACCAAAAGACATTTAGACAAAGAAAGCACATCTTGCAGTCCAAGGTGCAAAAAGACTAGTGCATAAAGTCTGGAATCTCTTTATGTTAATCCAGGCAGCCAGTCATGGATGCTACAAAAATGTCACATCTTCTTGAGACTCAGCCCACTGCCATTGGCCATCATATTCCAGGTGCTTCCTGTTATCGAGCTTGCAATTTTCTGGATCCATTTTGCTCTTCCTGGAAGCCTTTACTGCTACACTCTCTTTGTTTGGTTGCTCAGCAGCTGCTGAGGTAAATTTCTCCTCAAGGCTCGGCACTAGCTTAGGAACTTGTCTACCCAAGATTCCATTAGCCATTGGTGGTGACAGCTGGACCGGTGCACTGGGCTTGTTAAAACTTTGGCTCTTAACTAAACTAGAGGCCCATTCAGGATACGTTTTGCTTTTGTCTTGCTCTTTGTCCATCTTTGCAAGAAAAATTCTCTCTAGATCTGCCTTCGATCTTTCTAATTCACTTCTGCCTAGAGGTCTACCTAAGGTAGGTGACATTATGGGTTCCACAGAAGAACTTTGTCCATATTCATCCATATCATCAGCTAGTGTGTCCAAATAGCTGCCAATAGATATACTATCCAGTTTGTCATTGGGATCCTGAAGACTATTCCAGCTGCCTCGTCGGGACGTATCTTGACTTTCTACCAAGCTGTATTGACTGCTGGTAAGGCTGCTACAGTGGCTGGTCAGCATCCCTTTTTCCTCAAGAAACCACTTGACAGTTTCTATTCCATCATTTACAGCTACCAGTTGATGGAGGATCTTGATATCTATTGCTCTTAGATAGGCCTGTGGATGAAAGAAGAAGATATAATAAGATTATTATTATTATTATTATTATTATTATTATTATTATTATTATTAATTAATTAATTAATTAATTAATTAATTAATTAATTTGTCTT